GACATAAGATAAGGTGGGGGCATGGTGGCTCAGCGGCTAAGATGCTGAGCTTGTCAATCAGAAAGGTCAACAGTTCGGCAATTTGAATCCCTACCGCCATGTAACAGACTGAACGCTGACTTACCAGAACGGTCATTCTCTATGCGCTGCAGGAGAGTTCAAGCATGGGTTAGCCTTAGTCTATCTGCCCAAAGACTGAGTTCAATTTCTTTGGCCATTCCTCCTCCTCCTTACTGAGGCCACTTTTTCAACGAGGGCATGGTCCTGCTGATCACGTATTGATATGACGTACTCCTGGTGCTCCTGAACACTGGATCTATGAAGACCCCAGGCGGGGTTGGACTCTCCCACAGCGCACAGAGAATGACCATTCAGGTAAGCCAACATTTATTCTCCTGTGTACTGATTAGAGAGTTCAAGCATGGGACATACCCAAGCTAAATGTCACTAGGGCAGGAAGAAGGTTGGTCCAGGGTATCTGAAACAGAATAAACCATTTGTAAGACCCATTTCCTGAAAGATGCTTCGGCCAAAGCAATGGTGTCCAATTTATAGTCCCTGATGAAAAGCGAAGGGGTTGACCAAGTCGCCACCCTGCAAATTTCTTCAATCATCACTTGCATTACCCAAGCAGCTGTGGTAGCGGCACTCTTGGTGGAATGTGCTGTGATGCGGCCTGCGACAGGCCTGGCCTGATGTTCATAGGCCAATGCGATGCAAGCCTTCAACCAACACCCTAAGGTCGAAGAAGTAACCTTCCTCCCATAGAGGCCAGATAAAATGACATGAAGAGCGACTCAGATTGTCGAAAGGAAGCTGTTCTCTTTAGATATCTGCATAGTGCCCTTCTGACATCTAAGGTATGCCACCTCCTTTCCCTAGGATGTCTGGGTTCTGGGGGAAAGTTCGGTAATATTACCGCCTGAGCCCTATGAAAATAGGAGTTTACTTTAGGTATAAAAGAAGGGTTCAAACGCAGAATGACTCTGTCAGGGTGTATGATGCATAAGTCCTCCCTGATTGACAGTGCCGCCAGCTCTGAAATTCTTCTGGCAGATGTAATGGTGATGAGAAAGGCAGTTTTAAAGGTCAAATGCTGGAGGCTGGATGATCTCAACAGCTCAAACGGTGCAGCCTGTAAAAGCCTGTAGCACAATTGAAAGCTCCCATGTTGGGTAGTGATGAACCACCGGAGGTCGAAGATTGGCGTCTTTTTTCAGGAAACTACACACCTTGCATGCTTGGGAGGAGTTGCCTGATAAAATGGTGGACAATTTGCCTCCAGAGGGTGTTGGGGGACAGTCCTCTATCGAGACCCTCCTGCAGGAAGTTCAAGATCTGAGGAACAGATGCTGCAATGGATTCAACGTGGTTTGTCGCACACCATCTAGAGAAGGCAGCCCAAGTCATGTTGTAGATTCTAATGGTCGAAGGTCACCTGGACACTTGGATGGTTTGGATGACTTTGCAGGGAAATTGTCCCTCCTCAGGAGGTCCCTCTCAAGTGCCAGACGGCCAGCTGGAGCCACTGAAGGTCCAGGTAGAGGATGGCCCCTGGCTGAGAGAGACCTTCTCCTGAGGGATTCTCCAGGGCCTGGTCACAAAGAGGCTGACAAGGTCAGCGTACCAGGATCTCCAACGACCGGGATGGTGAACCTGTGGCACACGGAGCCATTTGTCAGGGCACGTGAGGCGTTGCCTACCCTTGTCCTGAAATGGCTACCTGTCCTGGGAATGCTCATTTCCCTGGGGGTAGGACTTTTGGAATGACAGAGCATTGAATTTGGGTTCAGGTGCTCAAAAGGACCGCCTACGGAAATAGGGAAAATTCCTGCAATCTGTTCTCCTATTCATACAGGGAAGAATCTTCCACTTGTCCTTGGTCTCCACAAGAATGGGATCCAAGGATTCCCCAAATAGTTTGCCTCCTTGAAGGGAGCAGAAGCAAGATTCCGCTTAGATCCCATGTCTGCCTGCCAATGGCAAACCAAAGGAGATGCCGTGAGGTTACGTTGGATGCCAGGGAGCTAGATGTTAATTTTGCTGCATTGAGGGTAACATCTGCCTAATACTTGGCTACTGCTATCAACTTATTAATGTCCTGACACAACCTAGTGTCCTCTGAGGGCAACCTGGTCTGCAACTGCCACCACCAGAGGAGGGAGGCCCTATTGAAGAAGGAGGTGGAGGTGGCCGCCTTGATTGCCCACGCCACTGCCTGTTGAGTATTGCAACAAGCCTTCTCTGCCTTCGCCTTGAGACCTTCCAAGAGATCCATGGGAAGAACAGAATTTGAAGTCAGTGATGCTACAGGTGCATCTACCGAAGGCGGTTTCAAAAGCTACTCTAGGCTGGGATTGACAGAATAGAGCCTCTTGTCGCTGCCACTAGGGGTACCTAGGGATCCAAGATGAACCCATTGGAGCTGGATTACATCTACAAATAATCTAGGAGAGGGAACTATCTCCTGCACTGGAGCAGGTTCATTAAAGAGACTCTCACTGGGATCCTGAGATCCAGCAACCCCCTGCTCCACCGGTGTCGGAGAGCCCATACGAGTAGAGGCATTGGCCTTATGTAAAATAGATTTAAAGAGTGTGGGCTTAAAAAGGCCAGTGAAGGTTGGCTTGTCAGGGACAAGATCCTCTTCTTCCAATAGGTCCTGTTCACCTTGTTCCTCCTTGCCCCAAATGGATTCTTCATTGGCTTAGGAGGTCCCTGGAGATAGAGGCCTCAAGCTGCGATCCCTGTCCCTGGATCCCTCTGCTAAAGGCCAGGAAAGAGCTGACCTGGCAGAGCAATGATCTTTTTGTCGAAAGCCCTCAGTGATCCACTGAGAAATAGTTCGGGCGATAACCTCATACATTTCCACTGACAGGTATGGACCCTGATCTTCCACTGGACTGGGCCCCATCGCAGTGGCTGTACCCAAGGCCTCTGGCACAGAATGCCTAGAAGAGATGGAGGGTTCCCTTTCAACCAGAAGGGAGCATGCAAAAGGGGCCAGGTTCTCTACAAGGGAGGGAGGTGGTGACCCAGGAAAACCTGTGGAATTATCAGAGGAAAGATCCTGAGATTCCTCCTCTGTAATAGACGGAGGAGGATCTAAATGGGAGGCGGCCCATCGGTTTTGCACCCTAGTCTGCCTTTGGGCCTTTTTGAATTGTTTCTCTAAGGCCCTTTGGCATCTGTCAGCCCCCCTACCAGAACTCTTGGAACCTTTCCTAGATCGGTAGGATTTTTTCCTTTTTCCAGCCTGCTTAGCAGATGCACCTGCCAATGTGGGAGAGGGTCTGATGTGCTCTATGTCCCCATCCAGGCCACAATCCACCATCTTGACTTGGGACCAGATGATGATGGTACCTCAGACAAGTCAACAGTTAACAAGGCTTGAGACGATGGAGGTGCTCAGCTCAACAAAGGGGGCAACTGTAACTGGAAAGTTTTAGCTGTGAGCCAACCTGGCTCTATTGTGCCCGGGCTGGATTCAGGCTACAGCTGCAATTGGAAATGGCATGAACCGGGCTGCACCAAGGCAGATCAAATCCAAAATTGGCAGAGTATGACCCTTTGCAGTCAAAAGTTCTGAGGCTGTCCTTCAGGAAAAAGTCTTGGGGGTGGAGAATTTGTCGGCAACTTGGACAAGGCCAGCACACCACCCAGAAGCAGTCTGCAAGGGAATCATGTGGCAAAAACACAAATGGCCAAAAGCACATGAAGCGGAGTCTTTAAAATGACCACCATGTGCATCGGGAGAAAAAAACAGAGCCATTGGCCACTAAAGGAGCCGATGGAAGGGTCTCATGTCAGGTGGCCACTAAGGAGCTCTGACAGAAAATGGAGGAGGGAGAAAATCCTTTCTCCCTGTGTCCGCCAAAAGCCACTGGACAGAGACCCGATCAACAGCCTTGCCCAAGCCGCGTGCGGTGCAAAAGGCAGCTTACCCCCGACAGCCTGCTCCTGGAAGAAAAGTGATTCATGAAAACCAGAAAGAAACTAAACTAACTGCAAAACAAATTACACACCCATAAAACAAAGGAAAATAACTCAATACAATAAACTAATCTAAAGGCCACTGGAACTCCCCTATTGCCTCCTTACCAGGCCAGACTGAATTGAAAAACGGCTTCAGTAAGGAGCAAAAGCATGGCCATAGAAATTGAACTTGATTCTTGGGCAGATAGACTAAAGTTAACCCATGCTTGGACTCTCCAGGCAGCACACAGGAGAATGAGCTCCCATTACTTGCCCCAGCTTCTGCCAACCTAGCAGTTCAAAAGCATGTAAAAATGCAAGTAGAAAAACAGGGACCACCTTTGTCGGAAGGTAACAGCATTCCATGTGGCTTTGGTATTTAGTCATGCTGATCACATGACCATGGAATTATCATCAGTCAGGCTGGCTCTTCGGCTTAGAAACGGAGATGAACACCGCCCTGTAGAGTTGGGAATGACTAGTACGTATGTGCGAGGGGAACCTTTACCTTTATCTAAGATAAGGTATCACAAAATACCTTATTTGCTAATCATTAAAATGCTGACAAATGAACATTTTTGTTTTTATTTTAACATTGAAATAATAGTGTATTGTGTACCAGCTTGCTAAATCAAAACATATAAGCAAAAATGTACCTGGAATTGAATTTTGATTTATAAATGTGTAACAGATTTATTTTTGAATGCTTGGAAGATTCGGGGTTTTGTAACTTTGAATATACTAAATATTGATAGGTTTATCTGATAGAGGCATGTTCATTCAGACTGAGTATAAAGTGTAATAATATAGAGAAAGAAAGGCAAATTGCAGAACAGTCATCGCAAAAATGATTGTATCCCTCTCAAATTTTCAGCTTCTTATCTTGTCATTCTTCTATAATACTTGTCAATGATCTTGAACTCACAGGAAAACTATAATTGCGGGATTTTTTTCTATAACCATTCTTTCATACTATATTGTATTTTATGGGCTGCAGTTCCTCTGCTACCAATAGAGGCACTGACCTGGGAGAGAGGGCATTCTTTGGCTAATGTGCTCTGATTCATCTCTTTGAGCAATTCCTTTAAGGCATTGCGGACTGTGGCATGGTTCCACTGTTCTGCTGGCAAATCTTCTAGCTTTGAACAACTGCAAAGACAGAGAACATGAGAATAGACAGATGGGGAAAGTGTTGCATGCAAACATAGCTGTTCTTTACATGCAAAAGCTATGTCACTCTTTAAGAACAGGACATTCATATTTTGTATGTCATTCTTTTATGCAGTTTAGAAATTTCTTACAGCTACAATCTAGAATCTATGAAGATTTGAACATAAATACAGTAACTAAATACATAACTGAGCAAATATTTATGTTGCCTTATCACTGGCTGAATAAGCTCTTGACAATTGTACCGTAACAGATTGCAACATAAGGACAAAAGCCTTTGAGCCCAACATTTATGCCTGGATTTCTGGTTCAAATCTCAAAACCTTTAAAAACTATAACGTGAAAACGTTTAGTCAGGCCGTGTAGAATTATTGTACCTGTGGAAAATTCTCTTTTAAAGGCAGACCACCTTAGCCTGTGTTCTAACGTCTAGTTAAAATATCACCCAGCAAGAGCTGACAGTTGCAATTCCTTTCTTACAACCTGCTTCCCACTTCAAAATGAGCTCAGAAATTAATGAAGATAGCATGAGTTAATCTCAGTAGTAATGGTGTGATTGACAGAACAACGCAGGATTTAAAAAGGGCAGATGTTCAGTAGTGCCCACCTCTGTAATTGAATTTTCAGTGTCACAACATGGTAGACGTCTTGTAACATGTCAGCCACTGTTGCATCAGGTGCATCTGTCATATAAGTTAAGGGAAGAGGATTCCATTTCCCAAGTTTGATTATTCCTGCAAACAAATAAAACATGAAATAATCATAAACACATATTTCTATCCATATATTTCTATCAAAATCTATATCTATGAAATTCACCAATTATTTTATATCTATTACAACAGCAGAATGTTCTCATGAAAATGTACTGTAAGTATGGAGAGTCTAAAGTTTGGCAGCTTGTAAATCTAATTTTATAACCTTGAAAATATATAAATATAAACATATACTTAAGGTTTTGAATTAAAAAGAACCGAAAAAGTACTGACTTTTCATGTTTAATATAATATATAACATTGATTGACAGTGGCTCTCTGAGCTATTTGAGAATAACAACAGAATCTAGTTTAATGCATATTGTTATATACAAGGCTTATACTAGCCCTAAGGAATGCTTCAGATTCATACTCCAAAAAAGCATGCTACTCTTCTTAGGTACAAAAATAGTACCTTTTTGCAAGACAGGTGTAAAATTTGTGCTTCAATTCATTCTGGAGCATCTTTATGGAAACAAATCAAAAGTGCTGCATAGCCCTACATAACATAATCCTTTAGAACAGGTTACTAAACATTTGCTGGACCAGAACTGTTATGGAAAGACTGCTAAAGAGAAGTATTTATTGCTTGATACAGAATGCCTCAAACATATCACAAAGAGAACAGAAACGTTAAAAACATGCCATTGTTTCGGTATTAAGAATTCACAATCTGGTGCTAAACATGCTGCAGTATAAATAGAGCCTATACTCTTATCATGCATTATAACGTACAAAGCTCATTCGCTGTACCATATGTCTTCAGAGCTGGCTCTTTATGTTGCATTCCCCTTGCCAACAAAAAAGTTGCTTCTCTTAAAGGGGATAATTTCTAGAGGTTATGTAATTACAGATCACTAAAGCAACAGACCTACTTTTGATACTTACTTGAGAGTAAAAATAACTGGAGATGTAATATGTACTATATTGACTATATATTTATTATAATTGATTGAATATGAAAAGTTAGAAATGGATAACACTGAACCTTCTCTCAAGTCAAACCTAGGTTATGCTCAAACAATACTCTGGAGTATAATATAGGTGTATAGTTTGGTGTGGTGTGTGAATTCAGTGTGATTAGTTTATGGTTTTGTCATTAGATCTACCCATAAAAGCAAGTGGGACCTTAAATAGTTCAGATGAATTTTTACAAAATTGCCTCAAGCTNATAGTTTCAAATATAAAATCTGCAATGTTGACAACTTTCTCTTTGAGGTAAACAACAGGCATAGAAAATCTCATATGTGGACCTAATCTAGAGCACAGGAAGATAGGGAGGAAGACAGGGAGAAGGAGAAAGAGAGAGATCACTTTTAGAATCCCATTTTCCTGCTCACCCTGAATTCTGATCCATTCTCCCCAGAGGTACAGTATCAACCCATTAATTAGAAGCTGTCCCAAGCAAAATTTTGAAATATCTTCCACTGATGTCAATATGGATAGTTTAAGATTTCTGCAATACAAGGATGAATAATTTTGAGGGGGAATACTGTTAGAAAATGAACCGCTAATACTTTCTTAAAACCCTCCCCTTGTCCTACGATATGGCTTTAAAATAGTATTGATTGAATTGGATGACAATCAAAAGCTATTTTAAAAGTTTCGGTGCCAGACAGAAGATATTTTTAAGAAAGAGTGCTGCTGGGGAGAGAGTTTCATACAGGATCCCTTTCAAAACTGCCATCCGTTATTATCAGTAGCATGTGGCAGGGTATGTGAGAAAGTACACTGAGAACTTCATGTCAAGCGGAATGAGTATTGCCCAATATTACTACAAAATCTCAAACAGGGATTTCAAAGTCAATTGAGTTCTCCAGCCACAAGAAATTTACTAACACGTTGTTCTTATAAAATGCCACATTGCTAGACTACTAGTGGTTTATACAATGTTGTGTGTGTGTCTGTGTAAAAATAATAATAGAATAGTATTAATACTCTAACAATGATAAAGAATAGAATTTCAAGTTTAATACCATTATGCAACAAAAATAATTACATGCATTTTAAGTCTGAAGCATAAAATATTTAAATATATATTTAATCTAATCAGAAATACGTACAACAGAGAAATGTGTGGGGAGAAAAAACAGCCAGATAACTTCTAAGCATTAGTAACTTCACAGATCTTCCTTAGTGATTTAAGCAGCATATGAAAATTCTTAAAGATAGACTCCAGATTAGAACATGGCAAATTTGATCTTATTTTTGAATGTTTTTCAGAAAAATTCTATAAGCACATAGAAGCTTAAAATACAGATTCTAGACTATAAGAAAAATAAAAATCTGTAAGCCAGACACACCTACTTAATGTACTAGCAAACTNAACTGGGAGACTATGCATTTTAGTCCCACCTTAGAAGAGAAGCCAGCTAAGTGACTTTGGACCAGACACTCTCTATCAACTCTAGGAAGGAGGCAAATTAAAGCCATGTCTGAATTCTTGGCAAGAAAGCTGCATTGACTTGTTCATGCAGCCACCAGAATCAATATTGACTTGAGATGCCTCCCATCCCAACAAGTGTCTGTGTGTATACTGTACATAAATATTTATTTTCATTTTAATAGTTTATTGAAAATATGAGGGTACCAAAAATGATAATATGCCAAAAATGCATATTAACACTGGCACAAAATATATAGCAGCAAACGACGATTCATCAAATGTTAATCAGATTGTTACGCTATAAATACAGTTGCCTATAACCAGTATGAAATAAATCTATAGATTAATAATAATAAATTAATAAATAATAGAAATACTACTAAATAATAGAAATACATATTTTTCAGTCAACCACAAATAGTTTTCTACTGATCAACGACCTACCATTTGATCAATTGATTAGTTTTGGCTTCACTGCATAACCCATCTCAGTTTTACTGCATAAATCTATAGCACACAAATTATTTTGCGATAACATGCAACGCACAAAAACAGATATTGAAATATCTGCTTTGTTTTTATCTAAAAGCTTTAGAGTGGTTTTTAAAAATGGAATGCGTAGGATAGATCTGGAAGTGATAGGGAGTTTATAACCATTCATTTCACTTGATAAAGTATTTTTTAAAAAGGAAGGAAATATTTCCTAAGTAAAAAAAAAAAAGAACTTGGTACTGTAGTACCAAGTACAATATTGTAGTACAATATTGATATGACAAAGAATTCATTCTAGGGCTAATATTTTAAAATTTGTTATACCTATCTAAGCCAAAAGTGAGCATTTCAAATCATAGTAGATAAAAAAATATTTGTTTCCAGTTCTGCTTTCAATTTAATGCATTCAAAGTTCCCTGATCTTGCTGATGATGATCAGGGCAGTTTAATTTCATTAAAATGTTTTTAAAATGTGTTTTCCCTTTTTATCAGAAACTTGGGGCTTATACCTTGTATACCCTGTTTCCTTGAAAATAAGACCTCCCAAGATAATAAGCCCAATCGGGCTTTTGAGTGCATGCACTAAAATAAGCCCTCCACCAAAAATAAGCACTTCCCGAAAATATTGCAACACAGCAGTAGTCATGAAGTGACCACAGATGCTGCCTCCTACACCTCAAAAATAATAAGATCTCCACGAAAATAAGGCCAAGCGCTTATTTCAGGGGCCATAAGAAAATAAGATCCTGTCTTATATTGCGGGAAACATGGTACTTTCAAGATGATGAAGCCAAATTCAAATATTTTCATAGAAGATAATATTCTCCATAAGAATGCTACATAGAATGATATATTTTTCCAAAGTACTCATGAATCAAAAGCTCTCCGAATATCAACATCAAAACTATATATATGTGTGTGTGTGTGTGTGTGTTTTATTTGTGCTGATAAATAAATAAAGGGAGAGGGCTTATTTTAGTGCATGCACTCAAAAGCCCGATTGGGCTTATTATCTTGGGAGGTCTTATTTTCAAGGAAACAGGGTATACAAGGTATAAGCCCCAAGTTTCTGATAAAAAGGGAAAACACATTTTAAAAACATTTTAATGAAATT